CCCGTTGCGGAGCACAGGCTCCGGACGCGCAGGCTCAGCGGCCATGGCTCACGGGCCCAGCTGCTCCGCGGCATGTGGGATCTTCCCAGACCGGGGCACGAGCCCACGTCCCCTGCATCGGCAGGCGGACTCTCAACCACTGCGCCACCAGGGAAGCCCTGTCACTGTTTCCTTTGGGATCTCTTGAGAGTAAGTTAAACAGGACCAAAGTCTGTTATTTTGTGGAATTGGTATTCTGAGCTACCAGAAAGATCGGGAAGGTCTGACAGCATGTTGTCCATTATATGATCATTTAAGGTAAGTTTTTATTGATTATATTGTCGATGTTGTTTTTAAATTTGTGGTGAATTTTATTCTCTGGCAGTTGGGCCCTTTTGTAGATTATAAATCCTATGTAGTTTCAGTTATTCTTTTCAGGTTATGGTAGTAACTTAATTTGGAGGGTTTCAGCCTGCATATTAACAAAGCAGTGGACTTGCTCCAGTGTGGGTCTCTCCTGCCCATGCCAGCAGTCTGTTAACCTTGACCTGAAGTTACCTCAGCACGTTTCTTGTCTTAATGCCAGTTAATCTTTTTTCAGACCTCCCCTCAGAGACTGGGTACTGGTGGGGCTGAGGGGTCCATTGTTTTGTCATTTGTAGAATCATCTGCATCATAGATTTAATATAACTCTGCGTATCTTAGGCAGCGATGTCCAGTTAGTGACGCCCTGTTTAACCTCCAAATATGCTGCTATTTACCCCCCGATTACCCTCGAGACACATGTGGAATTTCAGAGCTCATCAATACTCATTAGAATTAGTTTGCCCAGAAGGAGTTCTCCTAATAGAGCTGGTAGAAATTCAAGGGTTCCATGGGAATATCACACCAGAGTTTAAGGTCACATAAGTGATGAATCAGGTGTCTGAAAAGACCCTGCCTTGCATGACCACTCTAGTTTGATAGTGTAGACTCTTATTCGTTGAAGACAGGCAAATCTCTTACCTTTCTAGGCACTTTGGGACATAAAAATTCCTATCCATTCTCTTCCACTTGAAAGTTGAGTGTTGGATTCGCTTTAGGTGCTCACCTTTTCCTCCTCTGCTCCTTCAGCTTCTGCTAGACCTTGACCTGAAGATCGTGGAGGAAGGAAACGGTCATGATCTACTCTTTAACCCTTGCCCCTTCCCATTTCTCTCTCCTCTGGTATTTTGAGGACCTGGGAGAAGGAAGCGGAAAGGGGACAGATGTCTCTAACTTAACTGGTATTGCTGTCACCCCCTCTTGGCTGTTGCTGATTCTTTGGTGGGCCTAATTATACGTTGGGTGGGAGATGCACAGTGTTCTTCAAGGGCTCCTAGAAGAAGCCTCCCCACAACACAGTTCCAAGAATAGGACTCATGACTCTGCACTGGCCTCTCTTGCACCCTTCCCCAGCTGGCTCCTATCCTGGTATGCACACCTCACTTCCTCGTTGTTGAGGCCGTCTGCCTGGCAAACAGCCCTCTGGGGCAGAGTAGCAGCAACATAGCTCAAGTTTTGCACAGTATCCACCTAACTTATGGGAAGTACTTACACCCTCATTTTAATCCTTGGAAGTAGTCTGCTCTATTGCTGACCCTGTTTCCCACCTTGCTTTTCCTCATATCCACCCTGTGGGCACAGGGGGCAGGAGTGGGGCACATCGGCCATTCCACTGCTTAAGCAGATGTCCACTTGGGGAATGGTTGTTAGTGTTCTCCTCTTGCAAGTACCCTACATGTGGCTTTCTTAGAGCTCCCCTTAGTAGTTCAGGGTCTTAGGGTCTAAACAACTTTGAATTTATGAAAGTGTGACCAACCAACCTAGCATGTGCAGTGGTGATCCTAGTGGCCTCGTCAGCCACCATGCCACTGCTTTGGAGTGCCTGATTGCTTGCTAGGCAGTACTGTCACTGTTAGAAACGGCTCATGCTATCCAATAGTGGCGTTCAGTCAGTGGAATTGATGAGAATGAAACTTTCACATTCAAGCTGGGATTTGAGTAGAACCCTAAATCAGCAACTTTGCTTGGTAAATGTTTAACGCACCTATTATTTCATCTGAAAGATGGTGTCACATGCCTCCCATGGCATGCTAGGAGGAGGTTAGCTATGAATTCAGAGAACAGGGGTTTACCTGTTACCCAAGGAATTATATTCCTTAGCCTAATACATTAAACCTCTCTCTCCAAAGAAGTAAAAGAAAGAAGAAAAAAGTCAGAAACCACCCATTCTAGGATGAGGCTGAAGTGTTGTAAAATGATACAATATCCAACGGAAAATGCCAGTTTTTTTTAAATTAATGTTTTCCATATTTATGCATAATACTGTGGACCATTAGGGCCACAAATAAATTACCAAAAAGTTTAAACAATTATGAATAATTTAAAAAAGTAGCTACTTTGATAAATATACTAAGGCAAGTGGATGACAAAACCCAATATGTTTTACCATATTTCATCAATTCTCTAATCACTTATTCACATTTTAACTTCTGTGAAATTGAGGTGCTGCAGCTTACAATCAATGACATGTGTTTGAAAGCATGTTTTTTTCTTTTTTAATACAGAAAAAAAGTGTGCTTTTCAATCCATGGTATATTTGATAAAATACAGCAGCCAATCACCACCCCTGCGCACTCCTCAGAGATTCCCATCTGGATGGGGCCACTACTGTAAATCAATTTCTGTTACAGTGGGTGGCTGCTGATTTAATATTGGGGGTGGTAACTGGTCCTTTCCCCCAGCGTTAGGGCACAGTTCCTCTAGTGTTAGGGTGCAGCTCCCCCAAGGCAAGACTTCTGACCATGGTTCTCATGGTTGGAATATCAGCAACTGTAAAAATAAGATTCAGTTTAGTGGGATAGGGAGGGTGGGAGGGAGACACAAGAGGGAGACGACATGGGGGGATATATGTATACGTATAGCTGATTCACTTTGTTATACAGCAGAAACTAACACACCATTGTAAAGCAATTATACTCCAATAAAGATGTAATAAATAAATAAAGTGACTATTGATTAAAAAAAAGATTCAGTTTAGCCACTTGCAAGGTACAGTAAAATCCGTGGCAAAGGAAATTAGAACTTTGCAATAGCCCTATATTGTCAGCCATAGGTCTTAAGTACCATCAAGCTGAAACAGGGCATCTCTTCCCCTAGTGCACAGACAGCCACCTGCAGAGCAAAGAGGGCTCCGCCTTTTCTTGAATTGTATGCTTCTTGAATTGTATGCTTCAGAGGGTTGCACTGTCATAACTTAACATAGCATTACTATCTGAATGTTAAAATATTACCCCATTCCCAAAGCTAATATTTGATACCAATCACTGCTCATCATGAATAGACTAAAGCCTGATTTTTCTTTCCGTTCTATTATTGAAGAAAGGACTCATGGAATAGGCTCCAGTCATTGTTATAACTGATAGGGTCCAGGAAAACCAAATAGGTCACGCTCTTCATTTCACAAAGAAGGAAATAACAGCCTCAGAGAAGTTGTCAGTTTGCTCATTTCCCCACAGCAAGATATTGATTGGTCCAGCCCCAAGTAGGACCCAGGTCTCCCCGCCCTGCCCTCCCCTCCCTCTGCGTTGAACACAGTTCCCTCCTAATTTAATGGGTGATGGTTATGCTGGGGTTTCACAGTGGAGCAATTTACCTCTAGGCTTCTTATGCCAGTTCTTATTAGGCCATTAGTAAAGGCACATCACAATATGCTTATTCAAGCCCAGATATGATCGAAATGGAAAAGCTGGTGGCTGGTTCATACTCTTAGCTGTATTTTTATTTTTACTGTTTTAAAATGCATTAGAACAGGCAAAGCAGGTGACATTCTTTGCATCTGTAGACCAGTATTGTGAGTGCCAAAAAGACCAATGATGCGCCCGATTTCTGACTGGAGTTGGAACTCGTGGCTTTTGATTCCTAGTCAAGTACTCCGGAGCATCATACCATGTAGCTGACATAGTTGGAGCACAAGGCAGGAAGAAAAGAAAAAGAAAACCTAATAGAACTTGCAATATAATAGGGACAACTGGGAAAGAATATAGAGGTTGGCTGAAATTTCCTGTTACTATCTGAGAAGTGGCAACCTGAACTCTTGGACAGTTTTGAACTTGTTTGGTTTAATGGTGAGATCATTTTCAAGGGAGCTGTCTTTAAGCTAGATAAACTGATGAGGTTTCATTATAATTCTAGAGTAATGTCTGAAGAGGTAGAAGAGATGATAAAGAATTCTATTTAAAGTTAGTGAAACTTTTCAATTCTATAGAGATTCATTTTTATTACTTTGAAAGACGGATTACATTATAAAGATCCAGGTACATACTAATGACTAAAATGAGATAAAGTAGTAAGAACAACAATTCCCCACAAATCTAGGATTTATATTAGTTTTTCATTAAAACTGTTCCATTTTGCTGTTTTGTATTTTAAAATATTAAAATCCAGAAACTAACACAACACTGTAAATCAACTATACTTCAAAAAACAAAAAGAAAAAGTATCCAGGGTAAACTTTAGACGAAACTGAGATAAATAATTATTTACTAAGAATTGTAATGTCTCTTCAACTTACTATAAAGAGGTACTTTGTTCCAGTATATGCCATTCTCTTTGCCTTTTCCACTCCACCGCCTGTTGTATTACTCATTTCCATTATACTAGAAATCCTGTGCTCATTGCAGTTTGGTCTGAATTGTCCTACCACCAACATTCTTGGTGAGAAAAGAAAGTAATTGCTTGAATTAATGTATTCTAAGTTGCAATCTGTGTGGCAGATAGTTGATCTAAGAACCATTTTACCCCCTTCTTCCTTGCTAAGAGAACCCCAGTTTGGGGGAGTAATAACATACCCAGGTGCTAGAGGTGAATCATAGTCTAATCATGATTCTGGTCTAGTCTAGTCATTGCCATGACTAATCACAGCAATACTGTTCCCTTTCCATAATCTGTAGTAATGTTTTCTCCCTCATTCTTGATATTGGTAATTTGCCTTCTCTCTTTTTTCCTGATCAGTCAGTCTAGAAATTTCTTTAATCCTAAAGAGTCTGTGTTTGGTTGTATTTACTTTCTCTATTTTTTGTTTATTTTCTATTTCACTGAATTTTCCTTTCTTGATTGTTCCTGACTTATGCTTGATTTGGGTGTTTATTGCTCTTCTTTTTCTTGTTCCTTAAGGGCGATGGTTAGATTTTTGATTTTACATGTTTTTTTCTTTTTTAATTTAATCGTGTGTGATTTGAATCCTTTGAAATATACTGAGACTTGGTTATGGCCCAGAATATGATTTATCTTGGTAAATATTCTATGTGTACTTGAGAAGAATGTGCTTCTAAAGAATATATTTAAAAGTTTCTTCTCTTCTGTTTCATGTGTATTATTTCTTCCTCTTTTCCTTTTCTCCTCCTGATTTATAAGAAGTAATACCATACTGGTTGCCTGCAGAAAGGAGACCAGTGTGGCTTTGAACCATGTGACTATATTACCTATTCAGAAAATTTACAGTTTTAGAAATTTTAAAAAAATGATAATTGAATCATGGTAGTGGTTAAACACACCAAAAACATCTACGCACACGCATGCACCCACACGCACACACCCCACATACCCTAAAGGGTATCATTAGCACACCAGAAATATGAGGAATTCTTGGAAGATAGGAAATGGCAGATACAGTCAAATTAGTTAATTCAGAGAATTTGAAACATCTGCGGTAGAAAACTGAGGCCATTCAGACACACTTCAGGAACAGTCACCAAAACTGAAGCATTGTACAGAGTCCTAGGTCAGCAGTGAGATGAAAGACCTAATCTATGAACGGTACATGTTTCATCCTGCCCTGAGCCTCCCCCACCCCTGCTTCCATTGGGCATAAGCACCTGTGCCATTTGACCACCTTTAATCTCCCAAAACTGCACTCCAAAGACAGTGAATGAGCTTAAGATACCTGTAGACCTGCACAGAAGGGAAACATCAGGACACAGTTACCTCGAAGGGAAAAACATTTGTCTTCTGATGTGAGAAATTACATCTTTCTTTTGGCAACAGTGAGGGTCTCTAGCCTACCTGAAAGCTCCATGCCATGTTCCCGCAAAGGAGGCCACTGAATAATT